CAGTGGCGGGAACAAAGTCAGAAAGCATGAAGAGTGTGTTTAGTATGAACCGATACTGAATTCCTGCTTTTGTTTATTTCAAATCGATTTAATTTGTTCATAGCAGGTTCACATATCTCATATCAAAAGACCTTTATCAGACTGTAGCCTTGAGCTACTATTAATGGAATGATATTTTATTGAATTTCTGATCCTGTAATTTCCACATTTTTGCAGTGATGGTGAATAAACAAGTAGAAATCTGGTAGATGTTTTTTCCTCCTAAATTCCTGGAAGGAGAAATGAGAGCAAAAGACAAGGCTTCATGCTGGGTTGGTGGTTGTGTGTGTGGGTGGGGAGAAGGTGGATATTTCACGTCCTACTTCATCCAGTGAGCCGATTAGGCCTGATGTCTGTCTCACACACACCCCTCCTCTCTCTGCTGCCTGCTAGAGTAAACTCACCCTCCCTCACAAACACTTAGGCTTGAATGACTGTTCATGTGAGGACACTCTACTGACTTCCACTCAGGCTGCCAGTGACTTTTTAAAAACGCAGTGTACGTGCGATTACTTCATTACAACATTAACACAGACGCTACTGAGAACTGTCACTGGGCTGACATAAAAAAAATGACTATGTTGTAACGTGAACTTGGAGCCATCAGGGAATTCTCACTCAGGAAGGGGACTGGTGCTGTGCCGACACACTACCTCCATAGCACAGGTGCACACTCCCTCCTCTCCAAAGTCCTCATTTACAGACTGGTGGCACAGTGTGCATACCTTCAGTAATTATTTAAGCCTTTTGAAGAGACGCCCGAATTTACTGTCACCTGACTTTGTGCAATTTTCTAGAGTACGAAGTAACATATTTATAAACCTGTTTTGTAGGTGGCTGTTTCATTTTTTCAGGTGGACAATTACTATGAGTACTGATATTTTGTTTGTTATTACATGTATGCAAATATGCAGAGGAGAACGACAACCATGGAGGCTAAATGAATTTGCACAGTATTTAACCCTGTCACTATTCCAGCAGCTGTTGCACCAACACCCATCAGCTACCTGTTAGTTCTACCACTGACAGTATATCTGGGACAATGTATATTATTGTTTGGGGTGCTGTGTATTTTTTGGAACAGGTTGGCCATGGAGATGAACTGTTCTCTCTCAGACCCCAGCCTTTTTTCTCCATTGTTGCTTTTACAGGGGATGAGAGGAACTGATATGACTGGCCACTACTGAAGCCCAACCCGACTCCAGCTGCTCATAATATAAACACAATACATTCCTCCCACTAACGATGCATTCAGCTTCTCTGCTCCAGTTCCAGTGTCACCCAAACTGCAGAAGGGTGTTGGTCACACCCATTTGAATCATCACCAAGAGATTAGACTTGTGTTTGTGCCCGTGGTTGGGATAGGTGTATGCTGACTGTGTGATTTAAGGCATCAGTGTTTGAATAGTTGGTGCTGTTTTAAGTACAGTATCTATGTAAGTGC